TTTGTGCTGTCCGAATTTTGTTGAAATAGGGGGATGAATTCCGGTAGCATTAGAACAAATTTAAGCATTAATTCATGTAGAAATTATCTTGATTGACTGTTGTTTTTGTCTAGAACTATTTGCTGTTTGTGTCCAGAAATTGTACCTGTTGTGGTGCAGAATTTTGTTGCGTTTCTGCAAATACACTGCTGTTTTTCTCTGCAGTTTGCTACTGTTTTTACTGTTGTTTACTAGAAAATCTTGTTGTTTTTCTCATAAAATTTTACTGTTCACGCAGGAAATTATGTTGTTTTGTTGCTGCATTTTTCTGCAAAATTTCTGTTGTGCTCTTTGCATCTGCTACTATCTTTCTGCAAATTGTTGCAGCATTTTTCTGCATATTCCTTATTGTTTTCTGCACTGTTATAACCCTAAAAAATTCTGCATTTTTCCTGCACTTTTCTAGCTGATTCTGCACTGTTTTTAAGCCAAAAAAAAAAATTTTGTATTTTCTCCAAGAAAATTTTGCATTTTTACTGCATTTTTTCTTGCTATTTTATACACTGTTTTTCCTTAAGATTTTTCTGCTCCTTGCCAAATTTCTGGAAGTTACAATTACTATTCACTGCGTAATTACTGTTCACGGGTACTGTTCACGAGTGGTTACTATTCATACACTGAATTTCAATTATTTGGAGTAGAAAATCTCGTGGAATACGTGAGTTATACAGGTTGATATAAATGGCGTCATGATTAGGGGGTAGTCATGGTGGTGATTTCTTTTGGATCCGTGGTAGTATGATGGTTATTAATTCTGGAATGTTTTGGTTAGGTTCTTGATTATTCTGTTACCCTAGCACTTGGAGTGAGTTTTCTGTGTTATGCAATTGAGGTAAGTAAATTATGGTAACGCTCTCCGATTTTGAAGCACATTTCAGCTTTTTTTGAAGTGGTGGCGGGACTAAACCCGTTTTACATAAGTATGATCGATTTGAAATGAAATTATTATTCTTTTTATTGATTTGAGTATGCCTTCTTGGAGTTTACTTAATTGCCCTGATGATTTGGAAATTATTTGTGAATTATGATTTTCCTGTTAACTTCTGCCTAATTTTGTCTCCAATATGGTCATGTTATTTGTGTGCCCGCTAATAGGAGATTTATAAACACTAGCACATGTCGACATGTATTTCTGTAAAGCCGGTTCCTCTTGCTAGTGGGAGTTGTTAAACACTGGTATTTCTGTAATCCTGCTAGTGGGATTATACACTAGTAAATCGTATGCCTACCAATGGGAGGTTTATAACATTGACCATGACTTATGGAGGAGACGTTTATTTCATTTCCATACTCGTATCTGTTTTTTGTGATTACACTTATTGGCATGCTATAAGTTTAATTAAAGGCTATCCATATTTACCTACTGAGTTATCTCATAGTTTTTCCTTGTCTACCATTTCAGGAAGGGAAGTCAAGGACGGGGAAAAGCAAGGGGAGTGACGAGTTAGAAGGCTAGGCATCTTGTAAATTGAACAAAGATTTTAGATATAAATCATGATCTTGTAAGCTAGACTTTATTTGGAGATTTTATGATATTAGAGCAAATTTTATAATTTTATCTTTAGATTTTGTGGTATCAGATTGTGGTATGATAAAGTTTTGAGCCTCGTGCATTTGTGGGACCCTCTCACAAGTGTACGGCGTCTGCCACATCCTTAGATTTGGGTTCTGGGGCATGACAAATTGAGTGGTATCAGAGTAGATTGAGTGGTATCAGAGCTTAGGTTTAATTAAATACCTAGGTTTAATTGAATACTTAGGATTTGTATAGAAATTGGCTGGCCAATGGATTTTAGAACTGTGGTGAAACAAGTGATGGGGAGTTGCAGAGATCTTTTGTTATTGATCCTGTTGGTCTCTATAGCATAAATGGTTGAGAAATTTGTTCTATTTGTCACATGACTAGTGGAAGATGGGCAACCCTCTACATTGTAAGAGATTCAAGGCCATTTTAGCAAATGTTATGTGTTTTCTAGATGCGTTTTAGGAGTTGGATAACTTGGTAATTTCACTGCTCATTATCTTTTTGAAAGTCCTATAGTGAAATTTCACTTTTTCCATTTGGAGCTTCATGATCTTTTCATTTGGCTCATTTTTCTATATTGGTTAATCAAAAACAGTGATCAATTTAATTGAAATTGCTGTGTTTTTGTGAAGATTGGCAAGTTGTCATAAAGTTAAACTCTCTACTGTTGTCAATCTCTACATTCTTGATACCTGGAAACTACTTAAAACGCTTGAAATCCATCTTGAATCTTCCTTGAGATTGCTTTGTACTTGTTCTTGAAACTGAAATCCAAAGGAAATGGAGAATGATTATTGAAATCCTCATTATCTTGATACTTGTCTGAAATTAATTCTTGCACTGTTCTTGGAATCTTATCTCAAACCTTGCTTGGAGTAAAGTCATTTTAGCATCCTTGAAAATCAATTGATATTTGGTTTTTGGAATCTATTTTGAATTATCCTTGAAAACCATTCTTGTCCTGACCCTTGCTCTTGTTCAAATTCTGTATACTGCTCTTGCTCAAATCCTGCATATTCTACTAGTTCTTGTTTTAGTATACCTGTTGATCTTCTTGATTTTTAAGTTCTTATGGACACCTCTTAGAAGGGGTGATGATTATTAGAAAATACCTATATGAGGCATCCTAATTCTTGTCTCTTGCAAGTGTTAATCTTTTTATTCTTGATGTCTTAGCTTTGACTTGACTCTAGGATGTCTAGGATGACTTGATTGTAAATCTGCTTAGCCTCCATGGGCTATGAGGTGAAGGGGTAGTCTTTGAAGTACTTGATGCCCTAGAGTTTTGTTCCAAGAGAAATGGTTCTTTTATCTGGCTGCTTTGAGTTTTGTTTGCCCTTTTAATTAGAAGACAATAATCTTCTAAGTATCTTGATCCCCACTATTGATTATTCTGCTAATTAATTCGTGTTACTTGGGGTGCTAGATCTTGACATCCTGGTTAGATCTTGACATCCTGGTTATATCTACTCTTGAATCCGTGTTCTGGTTGTCATTATTGAAATCTCTTTTGTGGGCCCAATCCTTGAATTCTATTGCTTGTTTCATGGTTAACTCTTGTCTCTCAATTTTGACTGCTTGGTTAAATTTGATCTTGATTCTTGGTGAATGCCGTTTTGTTGCTGAATTTTTTGAGGCATTCTACCTTGCACTCTTATGTTACAGTATTCTTTCAAGCATTCATATTTTCCACTGATTTCATTCTGATGCTATTTTGGAAATTTCACATGTTATTTGATGGGTCTAGCTTTTAACTCTTGTTAATTGCTAAAATCTGTTTCTTGATTCCAGTTGTCTTGTTAAACATGATCTTACTTATTGGTTAACCTTGTTTTGTGGCAGAGTGTATAAGGCATCAATGCACTCGTTCATTCATTCATGATCCATATATCCATTGGATGCTTATCCGTCTTTGATAGAGTTCAAAGTTCTGTTGTATTCGTCTTTAAATCCATGCCATTCTTTGCCAACTCATCTTGTGTTGGGTTCATAGCGCAACCCCACAATTGTTCTTTTGTGGCTTTGGGCAGGATTTATTTCTATTCCCTATGCTTCCCATATCACCCCAACCTCCAGTAGCTTGTTTCATGGTAAATCCTGTTAAGTAATTAATGTTCTGCTTTTATGATTAGTTATGATTTGATATCAAAGTGGTGCGGTGGAAGTGTAGTAGGCCATGTTCTGTTTATGAGAAGTTGATGGGGCATTTGTTTTGCCTTAGCTTGTGTGAAACCATTCACCAGTCTAGATGATCCTCAATTTGAGTTTTGGGGACAAAACTCCTTTTTAGGAGGGGTGAATGTAATATCCCAAATTTTCAGATATTTTAGCATCTAGTTAGGGACTTAATTGTGAAGAAATAACATTGTTGTAGCTTAATGGCAAAATTTTCAAATTTTGAGGGACTTAAAAGA